GAGTACAGAGGCCCGTTTCTGGAAAGTCCCGTAAATTAACGGACCCGAAACCATGTTTAAAAATCAAATTTAAAGGATAGAAAAGCGGGTTATGGCACCCAATACGTCAGTAAAAATTCTACGGACATAGATATTCATGCCGATTGTTAACAATACATCACACCGAAGTTTCTCGTAGTACGCCATGCTCCAGTTGTAAATACTCAATAACATACTCAGGATAGATCTGATCGGTACTGAAGACCACGAAAATCGTTGGACTGGATTCATTGTCCACACAAGAGTCGTACAGATCACTGGCAGGATTTGAAGGATCCTTCAGTGGAGGTCTTCGGTATTTAGATCTGCCTTTAGCATAGGAACCAACTAAAACTCTCGCTAGGAACATAAAGTGAGATAAACTAGAATCTTTATCCGTATAGCAATGGCTATAAGAAGCCTTGACTGCAAAGTAGCTTCCTTCGCCGTACTTGGTTCCTCCCTTCTTTCCGAAAAGGCGTGGGTCGAAGTTTTGTTTGCAGATGGCTTCGACGTAGTTTGGACTGGTCCCGTGAAACAATTGTCTTTCATTTACGAAGCCCAAATCTTCCATGTGATCTCTCTTCCTTCATTAAAATTGATTTAACAGGGAAATGAATACAACAACTAAATAGAGAGCGTAGCGTTTTTACAACAACCAGTAAACTTCATTAGTGAGGTGAACTTCACCAAGGTGGCTCAAATGGTTTATTTGCTTGTTTGTTTGTTTTTATTTTAACACCCATTCTTTGACGAACCATTGCTTCCGCACCTTTACTTTTTTCGTTTCTTTCCACAAAAAATGGTATTAAAACACAGCCAAGTTATTTTCTCAACAAGTTGAAATCATTTTCGTATTGACATACAGGGTTTTTCTCGCAACACTATAGCCTCTAAGAAGCAAATTTTTATTTCAGCTTTAGGTGCCTTTCGCTGAAAGAGTCAGATTATTCCTATTTTTTGCAATAAGAATATCGAGATTTATTATCCAACTACACCTAGACGAGTACAAATAACGCCATAGACGAGTACAAATATCACGCGGTGTTTGTACTCGTCTATTGTAGTACCGGTTAAACAGGTTTTCTCGCATCGCGCAAGCGAAGAATTGGATTGTAGTTAAGAAAAACTGATAACAAATGGC